TCCAAAACATCCCTAAAACATCATGAAGGCATCAGATTTTGTTTTTAAGTCAAACAAGCAGATGGCACCTATCTTCATTTCTTTTGTATCAAACTTCCTCCTCACTGGGAATTGCTTTTACCCCTTTACTCTTAATTGTTTAATTATATCATTAAAATATGACATCACATATTTTTGCAAAAAGGCACCAGTCACTGTGCCAGAGACCAGTTGAGTACCTACATTCGATGTTTTGCTTTTTTTATTTGCACGATGAAACATTTCAAATAAACCTCATGCTTTGTCAGGTATTCAAGCGATATTAAAATATCGTTTTTATCAGATTTGGTTCAGTGGTTGTGCAATCATTCGTATGAGTTCCATTTGGCCCTGTTGTGGAAATTTGGCGAGTGCTGCATTTTGGAGAGATTTGCTGATATTAAAATCTGCAGATGCCCACCTGGTGTCAGGAGGGATGGAAAAAGAAGAGTGTGCTGTCTGGGCTTGGAGATGTGTGTATCCATCTGTCTGTGTGTCTTAGTCTAGAGTAAACAAAAAAAACATACGCAGGGCTTTACAGGTGATGGCCTGCGGTGTCTGTTTGTTCAAGAAGTCTGCTTTTCTTTCTGCTTGTAGAAATCATATTTTGCTCTTGCTGGCCTTTGATTTGTAGATGAAAAGAATGAGAGGAAAGTGGCAGCGTTGTAAAGTGCCGTGAGAACTTCAGGCAGACAGGCAAGAGATTCAGTATATCCCCGCTGGTGGTGATGCTGTGTGTGGGTGAGTGTGAGTTGTGAAGGCGCACTAGGTGTGTGTGTGCGGTTTAAATGTGGAGGTGGGTCGCTTACAACTGTTTCTTACTGTAGTCAATAGCCGAACTGCATATGTGAACGCCGGCTTTTGCTTCAAGGTGTGTGTGTGTTTGTGTGTCTGCAAGTGTGTACCTGTCTCTTTGATTGAACAGGTGGGGCCTCTTTGCATGGGATCTAGACAGCCGGTCCGCCACACAGCTGACTGTGGTCAGGCTCACTGTGCTCAACATGCAGTCTGTGGTTCAGGCTCAGATACATTGTGGTTTATTGTCTACTTTCATGAGTCCTTTTTGACCATTTCACCCACATTTTATGTCACCTTTGCAAGTTAGTTAAGTTTTTACAAAATGTGTTTCCTTTTTCATTGAAAACATGAGTAACAATGTGAACAGCTGCCATAAAAGAGTAATGCTGTATTAAAGCATTGTTTAAGTAAATCCTGCAAAACTCAAGCGACCAAAACAGTTTAGTTTGTCTGTAAAACTACATACCCTCCATTATAACAAGGTTTTTAAAGCTTACAGTTTAATCCTTTATATAGAGCCTAATAGCAAATGAACTGGGACTTCCTCTTTCTATTTTATGATTACAAATAAAAATGCAAAATGCCTTTTTGTTTTTGGTTGGCCTGCCATAAAAAGAAAAGTACAGGTGTTACCAATAACATTATTTTGTATTCAGACCTTGAAACTGAAGCAAAAAGTTGCCGGGAGAGTAGACTCATAGCACATAACACGTACAAGAACACATCAGTATATTGAGCAGTCTGTACAAAGAGACACAAACTTACAGCTTCAAACATTTTTACAGTTGAATCTGCAACTCTTTGACATAGTCTTTACAAAAAGTGTGTTCTTGATGTTTTACATGTTTTAAGGCTAAGAGTATATATACATCTATTTCTTGCAGCAATATTGTAGTGTATTGCATTCAGGCGCTTATGTGCTTTTGGGGGGAATTATACTCAGTAATTACTGTTTTTCTTGCAGGACTTTTTTTGTGGTGCTACTTCTTTACAGTTATTTTTCCCATAATGATGCACTTTAACATGCAACCAAATAGTTCAGACCAACTACAAAATCTTTACACTAATTTTGGAGCAGTTCAAAGATTTCATGTAATGACACTGGTGAATTTTATTTATTTTTAAAAAATATATATATAAAATCTATTTGTGCATATTTTATTAGTTAAAGTGTGTAGGATTTAGGTTTTGCTGTGGATGTATTTGAAGTCTTGTGCAGACTCTTAAAGACTGCAGTGACTTTGAAGCGCTCTGAAAACAAATGGTTCAAATTGTAAGACTGACCCAGAATTTGAATCAAAAAGAAAGAAACAAAAGGCTTGATGCACACAGTGACATGTTTTAGCAAGGTTCCTGCCCTGAGCAGAGTAACGGTTCCTTTTGACACAAGTGTCTGTAACCTTAAAACTGTAAGGATTTTATCAACAATCAAAAAATAGCAGAACTTAAGCAAGCAATTTAGCTAGGCTTTAATCAAATGCAGATTGCATAAAAAAAGCTGATTATACTGTGTATGCAAAGCCATGCAGGGATGTTTGGAGGGGCAGGTGCTTGAAACAGCATACAGAAACATACCTTACAATATAACTGGTTGAATTGTACCAACCCATATTAATAAAGAATGTAACATGGAATCACAACATACCATATCATTGTCCACACCTCATCTCTCTGTTAGGGGGCAGTCGATGTTTGACCTGATGGGGTACACTGAACCGGTTCTGTTGAGGGGATTGGTGAGGAGGCTGCTGTGCTGCTGCTGATGATATCGCTGGAGGTGGGCTGTATTGATCCGAGAGTGTAGACACTTAAAAGAGCATAGGGGAGATAGTAGCTGTTATGTGATCATGTCAAGATGCAAAGATAACTAACATTAAAAATGGCTGACTGTGACCTGCCATACTGCTGATTGTTCCGAGGAGACTCCTCGCTGAGAGAAGCTGTTGCCACGGCTGACTGGTTGAACTTAACAGAAGTTTTTATATTTATGTATATTATATTTAATGTGTGTATATATACAAATGTTATAAACATGTATTGATATGTTTAAATGAAATGTTGAGAAAATCACAATTCAAATTCTTTTAATTATTATTGTCATTGTATTTATACCGTGATAGTCCAAAATTATGTGAATATGCATGTACATTGCATAGTTTTAGTGAAATTCTAGTGAAATCTTTCTAATGCACTTTGGCCATGACAAAGGAAATATATAGAAACTAGAAAAGCCCTTAGAGAGCGCCGACCTCCACCAAGCAGCTCATTTCCAGCCAACGTTAAAGTCCTGCATTCATTTTATCGACACTATTAGAGTCATGGGTAATCAAAACATACCTTTAGCATTTAAACTAAGATTGATATCAATAATAACACTTGACGGAGTGGTGGTCATTCTGTACTCTCAAATATTTTGTACACTCACGTTATTTCTGCAGTTACTTACTGGGTTTTAAGCTGTTCGCTAATGCTATGCTAGATGACATAACTACAGCGATGTTATTGCTAACATAATCACACAGGGAGTAATTTAAGCTAGGTTAGCACAACTTTAGCAACGCAACTTAAATGAAAAGCATGACCGACGCAACGAAGCACGCGTCAGTCGTCCTGACACATGACAAAGACAGTTAAACAGGAGACATGTTGAGTCATTGTTAATGTCATAACGTCGTTATGAACTTATCTCTCAGTAGCGCTGCTCAGCCCAGTCCTGTAATGCTGCCTGGCTGTAGAGTCCTCCTGAGAAGACAGCGGTGAGGACTGAGGACTGAATGGAGTCAGAGCTCAACATAACCTCCTTGGCGGAGGTAACAGAAAGAAGCCTGGCACTTTTTCCCCTCAGCACGCTGTGTGGTTGACTAGCGGCTATAACTTAGGAGAGGTGTGTGTAGAGTCAGACACGCACACACAGGATGCTCACTTCACTTCGCCAGTCATTTTGCAAGAATACACCGTGCACAAACGAATACCGCTGCAAAACCTACTCACCGGACCATCAGTTGTTGAAAAACTAACAATAAAACCAATAACAACAAAAACACTCTGTTGAAACAACAAAAAACAACTTTGACAAAAGGGCACTTTGGGCATCAAGGGTCAACGGGGCAGGTGCTCTTGCACCCTCTGCCCTTTGATGCCCCCCCCCACACACACACACACGTGCCTGTGTGTATGAGCTCTCATGATATACATCTACATGTCAGTCTTGCTGCATAAGCAAATAGTGAGAGTGAGTGACACAAAAAATGACGATTTGGCCTACAATGACTTGT